TCGTTTGTACAACTGTGCATCTTCGTTAAATTTGTATCCAGCCTTCTACTTACCGATGAAGGAGACAGAGAAATCACTCTCCCTGAGTACCTCGTCAGTCTGTGGGGTATCACTTGAGTTCGATTAGTTATACTTTATCAGGACTAACACTGACTTATGAGAACGGTATTCGAGGAAAGACACATTTGATTGAACAGTCCGCACGATAGCAAGCTTATCTAATAAACGTGCGTACTGAAGGGAACATATGGAATTACTTACATGAATGAGGGAGAGATGGTGTAGAATTGTCATTGCAGTTATTGTCAATACCATTGGTTGAGACCAGTGAAGATCCGGGTTACGGATGGGCTTCAACAACCCATGTTCGTCGTGAGGATTCCGGTTACAACTGACCTTCAGTAACCCATGCGTCGTAAGAGGCGACTAACGGGATCGGGGTGGTCATTCTCGCTGACTTGGTTGATGCATATCATCGTATCCCAGTGGCGTTGGCCGATGCTCACGATGTCAGTCACTGGAGTGTGTGGTTCAGGCTTGAATATTAACAGACTGGAACAATTGTGAGTGCGGCTATAAAAAGCATGCAGGCAAAGAGATGATATTATGCCAGAGAGCCGATCTTGAAAAGCATCTTTTTCTAAACCATGACTTTAAGGCACCTAAAGACATATGACCCTGTTTTCGAATGAGCGAGGTTTTTATGGATTTAAGGAAACACGAAGAATAATGTGTTGTGATTTGTGAACTGAATCACAAGCTTGAATCATAAGCAATGACGTCATGAGTTACAATTGGAACAATTGTGAGTGCGGCTATAAAAAGCATGCAGGCAAAGAGATGATATTATGCCAGAGAGCCGATCTTGAAAAGCATCTTTTTCTAAACCATGACTTTAAGGCACCTAAAGACATATGACCCTGTTTTCGAATGAGCGAGGTTTTTATGGATTTAAGGAAACACGAAGAATAATGTGTTGTGATTTGTGAACTGAATCACAAGCTTGAATCATAAGCAATGACGTCATGAGTGATAAGTATGTAATACTATTCACGGTGCAATGACGTCATGAGTGATAAGTATGTAATACTATTCACGGTGCAATGACGTCATGAGTCATAAGTATGTAATACCATTCACAACACGGTTGGATGGCGGTGGGGTAGTCTAGTGGTTAAAGCATCCGCTCGTCACGCCGAAGACACGGGTTCGATTCCCCAGTTAGGTGCAATGTGTAAAACCCATTTCTGGTGCCCCTGTATAATTGCTGGAATATTGCTAAATGCGTCTTAAAACTAAACTCACTCACCACAACACGGTGAACACAAAGAACAGATTCTCAAATCACTGTCGACAATCGAACTAAGATCTACAGTGTACTGATCAAAATACTCAAACCAGTAATGCTAGCCTCCCGTCCCTGAGATGGATGTTACTGTGTACACTTTGATATTGCTACTCCGTGGTGTGATAGTTACAGCAGTAAATTGTGCTGACATTAAACCTCTCAAGTTTTAGAATGCGTCTCGCACAGTATGCTTCCAATCTAGCATAATTCGTCATGTCTCCGAGGGTTAAATCTGTCCATGATGCAATGAACTCAGCGCTCTAAGATTTGCAACTTCATTGTGAAATTGTGTCTCTCCGTTTGAGCCATCTTAAAGTCTCAGGTGGATGGTCTTATCTAATTTGAAATACAACAATGTGTATCGATCGGGGAAAAGCGTATTATCTCACAAAGAAGACAACCTGTAAAACGAGAAAGCGATACTTTGAAAAGGTTAAATTCCATTGCATTAGAGTCTCGAGATGAGCTCTCACCAGAACCCCTTACTGTGAGATACAAGACAAGGTCGGCTATCGGTGAATGGCAGGGGGAGCGTGAGGACGGTTTATACTGATAGATTTAAACTGTAACCTCATTTAAACACACACGAACTTTCAAACTGTGACAAAACTAGAAGCTGACAGAACGTTCACGTTATAGAATCTCTCGGAAAGTAAGATCTGTATGAGTGAATATGTTTGAAAGACATTCATATGTGCATGTTCATGATGTGGACAGAATTATAAAATTGGCTCTGAGATTTCTGATGAATGTGGAAAAGATTGTGTTAAAAAATGTAGGCAACGACCTCTATGAGCGCATTGTATCTCATAGTTCGACTTCAGCCAGAACTGGTAAATTAGGAAGAGTGACTTAGTAACATAGCAGGGGCGGTGGGGTAGCCTAGTGGTTAAAACGTTGGCTCGTTACGCCGATGACCCAGGTTCGACTCCCCACATGGGCACAAGTGTGTGAAGCCCATTTCAGGTGTCCCCCGCCGTGATATTGCTGGAATATTGCTAAGCGCGCCGTCAAACCATACTCACTCACTCGTAACATAGCAACAGAGGGATTCGATCATATTCGACGAGATTTATATTATTAATAAATGATAAAGGTCCTGTTTGTAGTTAACAGCATGGGACACAAAGAACAACATATTGGGCAAGATTTGCGAGCTCCAAACTCTCAATGCACACTTCGGCACATGTGCGCGGGAAAAGGAAATTCAATTTTTAATTTTTCAATTTTATCCATTGTGAGCATCAAACAATCTGAAAAGAGGTTCAGTCTCAGTTTTATTCTAAGAGGAAGTGAAGCCCATTTCTGGTGTGCCCATCGTGATATTGCTGGAATATTTACCAAAATTGCGTAAAATCATACTCACTCACTCACTATTCTAAGAATATTCCATATCTGGATTTTTGTTTACTGTAAAATTTAGAACAGCTCGTTGCCCCTTTTAACTTCTTTGAGTGGAATTTTAGAAGTAGGGGGCCTACAAGATTGAACAAACTTTATGGATGACAACTTCTTTATTTGGTAAGTGCGACGTTTCGATATAGATTCGTGTACCGTTGTCGAGCAGGAACGATCTGTATCGGAACATCCCACTCACGAAGTAAAGAAGTTGTTATCTATAAAGTTTGTTAAATATCGTAAACTTTTGTCTTCAAACGTTTCGTAAATATAACTTTGTATTTATAAATGATTTTTTGTGTTTTAGTGTAAGCTTGTTTCATCTCTTTATGGCTGAAATAATGCATGACATTCTCAAAATACCCCACTGTATAACCTAACGCGGATGGCATCACCATGATATTGCACCTGAAACATCATAACAATGAATTAATATACACCACTACAAAAGCAAGAATTTGATATAAAAGTATCAAATGGGGAACTAAAAGCCATTTAACAGAGGAAGAAGTATAGATACAGCCAGGCTATTATTCTTTAATCTCTAAAACACAATCACATGTTTCAAATTTGATATTCTATTACCATATCATCTTTCTAATATTTAGGGAAAAAACATGTAACCGATGTAGATATATGATACCGTTGAAATGTAAGTGCGTTCATGAATTATTGTTGTGTGAATGTCATGTATATTCTTGAAGTGACAACATCCAAACAGAGATAATTAGTATGCATGTCTATCAATTGTTTCTGATATAAATTACAAGGGAATTGTTGGGTGAACAATATAGTCCAGTAATCTGACACATACTGGTGTCCTAAAAATACGTAAATGGAAACTTCTGTTGATATCAAGAAACAGTCGGTATAAATTACGTACCTACTCATGTAAATCGTTTCGAAGGGATGTAAATCAATCATTGATTCATAATGCGTCCTGCATATCCTTCGTATCCGTGTACCGTTAGTGTAGACATAAACTAGTATTAATCGTTAACGGTACTGCCCAAAGTCAGCGTTTAACATTCCCGCCTGCCCGACCGTCCGGAACGGTCTATTTTCATCTCGGTCGGTCAAATGTCAAAAGTAGCCTGTCCGGTGGTCTGGTATATATTTTTGAACCAAAGAGTAAATATTTCACAATAACTGACAGGTTCTCTTGTCGTCCGTTTGAGGTGTTTAAGGTATCATGATAATTATATTAAACTACTTACGATTGGACAGTTCATGTTACGATAACCAGTCACAATCATGTACTTTCAGTTAACCTAAACTCGGTAAATTGCCGGTTAGTGCTATGTACTTCATTGCGATGCCTACAAACAGTGAATGGAGCTTGCGCGAGTTGGCAATTGCAGTCACAGTTTTTAATTGTTGAAAACCGGACAGGCAAGTTTGTATCCGGACTGGTAAGTTTGGAAAGTTACCAGTCCGGCTGTCTGGCTTGGAATTTTGGGAGTTTTAAACACTGCCAAAGTACCTGTGTTTTAACTGCATTCAAGGGAAATATTCTGAGTCAACTGATTTCCAGGCATTTCTCATTGCTCATGTTATTCAAATCCTCAGATACATTTTGAACTACGTCAGTGGCATCCATTGGAGCTAGCTCCGCTGTACATAGTTCTCATAGTGGCTGCTTTGATAAATATCATATATACTTACAGAAAAAATTAACTGTGCTTCATATTAAATGAAAACCAAAATCATTAGATACAAATTCATAAAGACAGCGCCTCGACTTTGAGGTCGTGATTCACAGTTTGCCCGTACACATTGGTTGGACCATGATCCTCACACATTGGTTTTCATGTGGACTGCATATTCGAGTGTTTCGCTATATGGTGCTCATTTTAAAACACTTTTGTTTGGCAGTAAAAATGGTGTTTACGCAAAACCATGACCTGCAGAAAATCAACGTTTACGCTGTGGGTAGGCTGCTTGCAGGAATAGTGCAAAACGAACTTCCCGGCCTTTTTAACGTTCATCAAATAACAATAATACCATCTACAACAGAACAATATTCATAACTTGTCATGTCTCGTCAACAAGACAACCATGTTCGGTTGGTGCATCTCTAGAATCGATCCTAAAATGACTCATAAAGTGCGTGGACATTTACTAGGCTAAGACCAGTGAACAGCAAAGCCGTCGTAACCGGTTGAGGGAGCACAACATCCGGCCCCTAGGTAGGGCGTAGCGTCCGGGACGACATCATTCGAGATTAGTTTCTACACGTTCAGGGGACGTAACATCACGTTTCCGTAGAATAGAACCCGCCTACATGTTCACAGGGTGTAACGGACGTTTTGAGGCAGACTTCACTGTACATCATGTCGTGGTGAAACAGTTATGTTGGTATTAGAGTGACTAAGTAAGTAAATTTTGTGCTTTTGAACTGTATTTTAGTTACACCATGGCGTGCTGATATGAGTGCGAGGTGCCCTATTAGATGCGGATAGAACGTAAAATATGATGAAGGAAAACCCACGATCAAAGGTAAGTTCGTTTGAGGGATGAAAGTCAGAAAAGCTTATTCCGCCACCTTAAGTGACCGGGCCACCTCTTCTCCAAGGTTTGTGTGTTTGATATTGGGTGACACTGCACCTCGTATTTGGTCCCGGCTGCTGGTATATTTTGTATAAAATGCGTATAGCGAACTTCTCTTGTAACGAACAAATGTTTAGCGGTATCTTAGAGTTCGTTCCAGGTTTGAGTTTCACATGAACGGAAGTACACTCCGCCGTTTTGTTGAAACATTCCGAGACAAGACATACAAACACGCTCACTTCCCGAGGAGTAACGGAAGATGATCGAATCAAGCACAAAGGATGGCGTTTTGAGATTACGTCGGTCACGACAAAAGCTGTTGAGTGGTGACTCAACGTATATAATTTTCTTTACCTTCTCACCTTGAAGATAACAGTTTGATTAATGCTGTCTAGATCCCAGAAGCCGAGTTTCCCAAGGCGGCGAAACTCCCCATGATGTATACCAATGCTTCAGGGATAGGCTGATCAGAATCCAATATTCATTCCAATTATGATCCTTGATCTGGCAGTACCAGACTATTCTCCTGGGCAGCATCAAAGTGTTGAATGTCTACAATGAACGTCACTTTAAGCTTTCCTTTGACGTTATAAAAATACCACGTTGTGATAATGATGGAATTTTCCCCAAACAATTTTAAAGGAATCAGTTGTCAGTTACGGTAGTATCTAAATGATTGGACAATAATATTTGTGATTTGAAAAGTCCTTGAATCTTAAAAAACGGTTTTGGGTTTACATGTTGAGTGAGTGAGTGAGTGAGTTTAGTTATACGCCGCTTGTAGCAATATTCCAGCAATATCACGGTGGCGGACACCAGAAATGGGCTTCACACATTGTATCCATGTGGGGAATCGAACCCGGATCTTCGGCGTGACGAACGAGTGCTTTAACCACTAGGCTACTCCACCGCCCCTTACATGTGGAGGATATTTGCACATTTGACGTATCATTGACAATACCTATCTGATATAATTCCCTTTTTGACTTGTACATTGTTTCTGTGTTGTGTTTTGTTTTTCGGACGAACAGCTGAATTTTTTCAAGTGAGCAGGATGCGCTCAACTTTTCGAGAACCCCTAGTATCAACACTATATAAAACAGGTTCATCATCTTACACTTATGATATAGTCAGAATCGAACCTTGAATATCTTATGAATATGAAAAATGTTCCCCTTCTGTTCCATCGATTGAGTGTTTGGATGGATTGTTCTCGGCGCGGCATTATAATTTGCCTGATCTTTAGATCAATGTGCACTCAAATTACATTCTCAGAGCCCCGCAGAGTATACAGATGATCCAAGCTACCCTTGAGGCGCAATAAGGTTCAACTGTCACACAATCACCTCATCCCACTGGGTACCCATTCACAACTGGGTGAACAGAGGCATTCTTTGAACAAAGTCTCATGCCTAGAGATTCCGTGTGTTGCTCGTGACTCAGTGTGTGGCACTGTGAGGAGGCCTCAGAAACGCTCCAGACTAAAGATGAAACCGATGCGCCATTCTCTGCCAACACTGTTGTTAAGTGTCACCTGATTACTTTTCAAAACCACGTGACAGCTCATCTTTCCAAGTTCTCTTATATCTCTGTTGTCAGGAAGACGCGACATTTGCATCCTTAAGAAAAACAGAAGTTAAACACACGGTATTTTTCCTGCAACTTTTCCGAGAAACTAATCAAATTCTAATTGTCATAAATACGTTCTAATGTAGGAATAACCGTGGCGAAAATTACATTTAACTGGATTGTTAAGTTTGGTTGGAAGTTGCGTTCTTTATTTTTGTTCAAGTGTTTCACAATGTTTTGGATCTGAATGTTTTAAATATTTACTCAATTATGACCAGTGCTCTCTGATATGTCCTGACCAGGTCAAGTTGCTGTCTAAAATCTCAGGGCTTTTTTCGAGAGTGGAGAAACTAGTTCAAGCTAGTAACCACTGTGTTGATGTTAAATTGTTCTTTTCCTTGTTTCATTGGTGCCAAATATTATTTACATTTTTACTTTGTCATGATTAAAAGATTTTAATATGGTTAATCAAGCATAGTGATTTTGTTGTGGTTTTGCTTTAGAAATCAAGCATTAGCTCGATTATAAGTAGATTTTGGTTATAAAAAAATCTTGCAATACATTGCAATACATATCGCAATATATGCTTTCGCATTGCAATATATCGCAATATGAAAATTCTCTGCAAAACCAACCCCAAGTTTTCTGATGGTTTAGCTTAAATTTCCGCAAGATGACATCCTTCAATATTGACAAAAACGCTATTTTCAGCGACTGTTTACTCACTGGTGTGAATAATGGCGTCCTCCTTCTGTATCACTCAGAAGCGATCGTGCGGAAAATAGCATTCGAAATCATTCGAGTACAAACGTTTTCGAGGTAAAAGCTGTTATGAGAGTGTGTTTTTTTGTAATTTGTAATATGTAATATCACATTGAATAAGTGATAGTTGTTATGGGCCACTATGTTTAAAGTTTTGAGTGTGGGTTTTAGATCGCATCTCGCATCATCAATGGCAATAGTATTTGTAGCGGCATGCCTTTTTGATAACGCTTCAAAGTTGCCTCCCATGGCTGGCTCTATTTTGTTTTGACTTCCGGGTCTTGTCACGTCTTGTGTTTACGATGGCTTTCGTGAACGCTCTGAGAGATTAATGATGGAGCCTAGCTTTGCTAGAATGCTCGAGAACTGTGAAAGTGCTATATAAAGGCTGGCTCTTGAGTAGTGCGGGACGGGACTTATTACATGACTGGAGTTATACACAGCTGTCTGTCATCATGCCAAGAGCGATCGTGCCTGCCTATTCCCCTGATGTCATTGTAAACAACCTTCAATCAGTATATCTGTTCTCACTGTAAATGTCAAGACTCTGGTGAGTTATTATCTTATATTTGTGACCCAGTATTTTAGTTTTGTGACTCAATTGCATTGTACTAGAAATCTGTATTGTCATTCATTGTAGTTTGCTCATTGTTTGTTCAATATATTATTGAATATTTTAGACTTGTCTGTGTTGTATTTTGCTGGTTCAAAGGAGACTCTTAAACCTTTTACGGTATGCGCGAATTTTAACTTTTGCAATTTGGTAAGCTGTGTTCTGATTGGTCAATTCAAACGGTTAGCTGACGCGACCTTCTTCTAGGGTTTGTTAGACTCAGTATCGCTTTGTAACGAATAAGTTTACTTGGACTGCCCCCGAAAGTCAAAATAACTATCTTTTAAGAATCACTCGAATATTTCCTTGGAGTATATTCTAGGTGTTTCTGGAGCATGGCCATCACACAAGTTTAACGTTCATGATCATTTTCATGTAAACGCTGTCGTCGTTTGAGGCTTTTTTGGCACCAAGAATACCGGTGTCACCAAAGACGGATGTACGTCAGGGAATTTTCTGCTTCTGGTTGAGACCAGTGATCATAGATGTACACCATCTGGTGTATTCAGTGTATTCGAGTGGAAACCACAACGACAGATCTGGATTGTAGATATGCTCTCTGGGGTCGCTTATATATGACAATACGTTGAACGTTCTAATCTGCATTGGGCATTGGTTCAGACTGTTTAACTTCACTTGCCAAGAAGCTGACAAGATTGCTTCACTGGAGAGTCTGCGTTCAATGCGTTTAGTTGCTGTAAGTGAATTTACGAAAGGTCCTGGTAACCCTTATTTATTTAACAGTGTCAGTTGTTTCTTACAGTCTTTGGTTCTTGTCTGACCTCGGAATCATAATTAGCCTTTAGCATCATTCTCATTCTTGTTGGGCAAAATTCTGTCAATTTCGGATAATCTCTGATTGGCAAATGAATGTTCCTTTGGGCAGCATTCGCTTTGGATGCTCATCATTCAAGAGAATGGATTGGGTACAAGGTATTCCAAGTGAGTGAAACCCTCTCCTATTTACCGTGCTTACGTGTAAAAGTGAAAGAAACTATATGTGCAGGGACAGAAAGATATATTCAAAAGGAGAATAAGACATTTAAAATAAAGTAATGCATTGAATACATGAATTAGTTAGATCATAATCATTATATCCAATTACTGAACCTTTTGAAGTTTGATATATATTTTTGAACTTCTTTAAAAATCTGACTATTGTCTCTGTACGGAAGATCTGCACTGCCATTTAATAGTACCTCTAGGTTTTGGATGTGTCTTTGGCAAACATTCCTGTGATAATTGTTCAGATGCTCCTGTATCGTCATATAGGTGTAAGGGTAGCCTGGTAGTTTACGCACTCACTTGATACAAATGTTACCTTTCGATTCAAACTGTGGATACAATCTGTAAACTTCGACGAATTACCGGAATCTCTGAGTCATATCTCAGCTCTCAAAGGCTCCGTCGAGCAACATTAATGCGTTCCTCAGGTCGACATGTACTCATTCAAATTTGCATTGATAATTGTCGAGAATTCTGCTCTAGTGCTGTGTCCGTTGAGAACTGGTAACGCTTATATCTGCTTGTGGAAATATCAGAAACACAGTTTTTTATCCCGTGGCACAAATCTCCTTCCCACGCTCTAAAGCCGGTAAATGTCAAAACATGATTTTTGTCTCGCATAATGTTTCGCTAACATTTCAAGTACACAATTCATGTAGGAATTGCCACAATAATAAACACGCTTGCACAGCTCTAAACCCACAGATACACATGCATGCTGACAGCAGAATATATGGATAAACGTTGTCCACGGCATAGTGACGTTCATGCTAACATTGGTCAGCTGAAGCGGGTGGTCTAAAGCTATCACTCCAACTGTACAAGAGTTGAGGATTTCTGTTCCAGAGGGAGATTATTCCAATCCAGTTTTTTCAGTTTTGACTTATTAACTTCAGAATTGTATTGAGGACTTGACTTGAGTGACCTTGCTAGGCGGTGCATATTCACAAGGTCACGTTGATCGCCAGCTGCGATGCCATTCATCTATTGATACGTGAGA